CATTAGGTAGTGTAAAAAGCTGAAGGAGCACTTATACCCACCAACCACTTCATAACGTATGCGTTTGAGTCTAATCTCTTCAATCAGTCCACATTTAAAACACTTATTGATCTTATAATGACTTCAAATTGCTCTCATAATGCTTGACAACTGTAAGGCACGGACTTGACAATATATTTCTGCTATCCATTTTTGTCCTAGCTGCTACCACTTAGATTTCTGATGACGTCTAGCCTGTTATACACTACAGGCTCTGATTGACAGATTTTTATTTTTCATATCTTGGAATGAAAATGCCATCTGTCCATTTGCATCTCAGCTCGTCTTCCTGTCAGAATTATGTCAACAGCTCTTGAATGGATTGCTTTGACAGTAAAATCTCTGGCTCTCAGTATATGAAGCCTACAGATTTAGGCTTCTCCTGAAATTTTGGTTTCAGTTCCAGCTATAAGTTGACATTTTTCCTTGTTTTACTCCTGGTACTGTCAGGTTCATGTGCTAGCATTCTTACAGTCTATCACAGTCACAGAAATGATTCTCAGGCATTAAATTACTTTTAATTGAGGATTTGAATACATTTTGTTATGTCTTCAAGGTAGAATAAATGTATTGAAATATGAATGCATCTTTTCATTGTCAGCATTATCAAGAAAATGAGGACTATTGTTTTGTGTGTGCAAATAGGACTTTTAGAAGTGAAAATGAATTATATCGTTCATATTTGTCCAAGCTTTCTACTATAACAGCCAAAAACAAATTTGAACTCCTTTTTACTTCTCGCCCAGTTTGTGTTGTTTTTCACTGCGAGCCCACGGTAACTAAATGTCTGACAAAGAGGGAAAAAAACCACCATAAACTGCCTGTTGCTCCACAAAGCATGTGTTGTTTGATGGATGAGTTTTTATCCAAAGCACATAAACGCACCATATATCTTTAACTTCAGAGGGGTTTAACCACCCGTCCTGGATGTGTAATTGCTACGTCAACCAACTGAGTTTGCCCACTGTTTCATCCTCACACAAGTGCTGGTCTCAGTCTGGAGCTGTGCGGTTCCACTCGCACACAGTCATCGGGTTAGACAGGCGTGTTGCTGACTGCTCCCAGCTGGTACATAGGAACACATGGCTGGACATATGGCAGAATTTGGAGCGCCGAGATTTGTTGATCCAGCAACGAGGCTACGGTGTTCTGACAAAACACAAAGTGCAGGGGGCTCCTTGTCAATTAGTGCCTCGGCAAATACTGTCAGAGTCACGGCACAGGGCAGGGAGGCTGAGAACGCCGGGCGTGTGCACATACGCCTGCATAAAAATACACACACTCACACATATACTGTATGGTGTAATAGGAAGTGACACTTTTTCCCTGACACAAAGTTATTCATAAGTTGTGCACACGTGCAAGATGCTGTCCTCCGTTTCACTCTCATACAAACTTTGCATGAACATGCAAATATTATGGAGGCTGTTACTCACATATACATTCTTATTGTATACAAGCCGGACATTTCTATTGCAATATAAGTCTATTTATAATACAAAAAAATCTGCATAATTTGCTACAACTACGATGAGCTGTCATTTTTATTCCATAGAGTAAACATGCAAGTCATTTTTATTCCATAGAGTAAACATGCGAAGATTGAGAAGATTGATTAGTGGTAAACAAGTAGAATTGCTAACAGTTAGCATGGCAATATAGCAAAGCAGCCTGAGGAAAGCAAAAACATTTTAATTATTGTTATCTTAACTGTTTACTTGAACAAATAACACAAAATTAACAAAAAGAAAGATTTCATTTTCTAATAAGCCGTCAACTAAAAATAGGAAACATAGGAGCTACTTAGAACCAGTTTAAGTTTCAGGATGCAGAATTCAGTTCATGACTACAATTTCTGAAGGAAGTTTAGGACTAATTGACTGTATCCGTGCTCTGTTTCAGTTCACTCTTGTCAGAAATAATAATAAAAGAGTTCTTGTTTTTACTCTTGTCAGTTGGAATTGGAACTCAGCTGCTCCCACTACTACGACAGGACAAAATCCAGTGTTTGAATGACTGAACATTTAAAAGTCTTTTTTAATTTGCATGCACTGAGTCTTTGAGTTAAATCTAATTTTAATATTAACCCTGAACCACATCTTAGCCCTCAGCGGCCTTTTAAAGACACAAAGAAAAGTCCAAATAATCGTCCTTTTTTCCAAAAATGTGCTGACGGATTGGGTGTAAAACTTAAATTAGACCTTGCAAAGAGTGATGAACAAGAACATATGTGAACATAAATACACGCACGCACATGTATACACTAATAAACCCATGTGCACTCTCATAAATCCATGAGAACACAGACAGTCATCCTACAGCTGAAAGGTTTCATTTCCTTTGATGTAGGGATTGAGTGACTATAATGAGGGGTCGGGCCGGAGCTTTAGCAGCTTATTGTCTATTATAGTTCACATCCCAGACGATGAGGTCCACCCTTGTTGGCCACATTTCCTGCTGTGCCCTAATTATGTCACTTTACATGCGTACATGGGTGTGTGCTAATTGGGATAAATGTGCAGGCTGGTCGTCTCTCTGCAGTGCCGGTCATATGTCAATCATCAACTCCCACTCTAGGTTTGCTCTGTTGTGTCAACAAATACCTCCTTAGTGCATAAGGCAATTTGGGCCTTTCAAAATATGTCAGTTGCAGTTGATGCTCTGTCAGTGCTGTCAAACAGAGGCTTACAGAGCAGTGGAGAAGGGCTCTCTGAACACACGGCTCCCTTTTCTCTAATAAGCCGGAATTTGTTTGATTTTGGAGGTGAAGCGTCCAACTCGGTTTAATTTATATTTGCATCAAATATTCAGTTAAATTCCTGCAATTGTTGACATGAAGTGTCAAGATAACAACACAGTAGAGCTGAGGCCTCGGGTTTATTGAAGTTAAATGAGTTTAAGATTTAAATGAATTCATAAATTGATGCTGCAACCCAAGGATGCAGACAAGGGCAGTTATTCAAGTTCTTTTTCAAGCCATGCTTTAATATTTTTGTAAAAAGTAATTTTTGTAAATTTTTATTATTTCTTCATAAAACTCAAATAGATTTGTAGTTTCATCGTTGTCTTTCTCTGGACTTCAGGCAGGCCAGTCATGGCAGTCTGCATGAGAGCAAGAGACTGCAGAATGAGAATGAGAAAAAAAAAACTCTGTCTTGACATACTGTAAGTCTCTTTTTTTCAATGTTAGCCTCTGGGTTTTGCCCTTGGTATTTGATGGTATTTTTCCCAAACACATGCTGTAACTTGAACTCACCTCAGCACAGTACATTTCTGTCATTTTCCTGTCCATCTCACATGAGCTTGGGCCCAGACAGCTTGTCAGTGTTGCTATACAAAATTGATGCAGGGCTTATTCTTAGCATCACACAGTCTCAGGTAGCATTTTTGATGGGGGTTTCAGACTGTGTTAAATGTCAATAATTTTCTTCAGTGGTTCTGAGTCCATGTATCTATGTCTATCACTGTAGCGGGCAGCGGTGAATGCTGGAAGACAGGAAGACAACTCATCTTCCTCTAGAAATTCAGTTTTATCGATTTGTCACATTTTCTATTTCTTTAACAACAGTAGAATTTATGTTTGAAAAACTAAAAGTACATTTTAGCTAAATTTCCTTAAACATTAATTGATGTTTTCCAATGCATTGCACAGACTCATGTTTATGTCAGTCAGTCATTTTTAATTGGTTCTTAATTATATGCATTGTATGGATATGCAGGTTACATGGAATTAGACAAATTAGCGTTTGTAAATATGATGTTTATGTGTGTGTGCACGTGCTGCTGTGTTATTTATTTTCTTTAATACCTAGTAGTGTTTGTGTTAAAACAACAATTCTTCTGTTTTTTGTATAACTACTGGTAAAGGTCATTTGTTTACATGCCTGACGTCTTCCTCAGCTTATGCACTGCAGCAGGAGCCTGGCACCGTAGGTTTGAGTTACACATAACATCTCTGAGCTTTAAAAGTGGAAGCCTCCTAATAAGAAACAGCTTTTAAATAGTAGGTTTAATGTATGCTGGGGCACAAGCACAAGTACATTCAAGACAAAACAGGGCAGGGCATTTGGCTTTGCTTTAAATCAAATATTTCTTGGCTCTCCCGATTTTTGACCCTGGCAGCGTAATGACTTTCCTGGAAATACCACAACGTTGATTATATTTTTGAGTCATCGACATAACTGTAATAAAGAACATTACAATTAGATGGATGTACTTTATTGATCCCAGGCTAGGAAATAACAGAATTATTTTAAAATAATTATTTTAATTATTGCATTTGACCCAAAGGCAGAGTATGTTGCCTGAAAAAAAAAATAAGAAAAAGACTGATCCTTGATGCATTCCACATGTCAGAATTACTTGATTAAATTCAGAGCTTCCAAAAATCAAGGGTCTATAATTGTGTAACACAGAATATATACCCTTTCTGTTTTGGATCAGAATGTTTTAATGCTTATATAGGTGAATATACAGTAATATAGATATATACTGTACATATCTATAGATATATTCTGTACATATATGTATGTATATCATAGCTGTGTATACTGGACCGTTTTGAAAGACCTGTTTTTTTTCCTAACGTTTTCTTACTGAGGTGTTAGGCGTTATGCAGAGGCGTGGGTGTGTTGT